TATTTCACTTTTCGCTCCTGCCCTCTTCTTTCCTTCCCACGCTGCATCTTAGTGTTCATGTCTACCACTCCTGTCTTACTGTCCTCAGTCTTCTGCCATGCTCAGTCTTTACTTTTACCAAATATTATGGAAGTGAAAACCGTATAATAACAGGTGGTAACATCCCGCCTTTCCATTTCCTTTCAAGTAAAGCAGAGAGATGGCAAACATCAGCTATTACAAAAGGCTTTCCTTCCAATAAATTGTAATAATGTTAGAGCTTCAGAAGCATCTAGGCTTTGAAATTAAGCTTAAAAAGCATCCCAGTGAAAGAGCAATAGAGAGAGATTACTTGAGAAACTGAAATACCGGCACTTAATGACAATAGGAGCTTGCAGAAGGGAGTAAGGGAACTTTGTCTCATCAGACAATTACTTTACATGCTCTCTCTGATACTGTATCTTCTATGCAGCATACTCTTCCTAGAATTCCTAATGCTTCCCAAATAGACTTGTCACTCCACCATGAATACATATCTTTCTCACTATACTATACTACACTTACTACTCTTTACAACTGAGAATAGCAAGTCAGTAAACCCACAAAGCATGGCAACCAAGGGAAGAATGTGTGTTTATCACTAATGGTAAGGAGCTCAACAGTATACTTTACTGAGTGAAAAATCTTGATACTATGACATTTGTAAAATCTAGCTTGATTCTTTACATGGTCAGGACTTCAAAACTGCATGGGTGTTTCTCACCTCTACCTAAAATGGCACTTTTTCACTACAACTGCTCATTAGCAAGCTAAAGATAATTGTATCCATTATATATGCCCATTCATCTGTATAAAAATATCTCATGCAATACTCAAAAGTGGTGGAGATCTTTTGTCAGGTACTACAATTTAGTATTTCAAGTTCATCTGTAGACAGATTCACAGTCTACATCAATGAATAAAACGCGAAAACTTACAGATTTGGTGGTAACCTTACACATTGCAACCTGTATCTTTCTGACATTTGCAAACCTCCGTCTTCTTAGACACTGTGAAATTAATGAGTTATGTCAAACGCATATCATGTTCTCAGTGATAGAAACAGTAAAATATTCTTTATGCAGTATGAACAGAATGTCACTAAACAATGGCTGAGATTGTGAAAAAATTTCATCTGCATTCAGAGAAGTTAAATCTAAATGGAGCACTTAAAACCTATATAATCTAGATGATCTATTAATTGAATAACTCTGAATGTAAACTCATCAATATGAAATTCAGCTTGTGAGGCTGTGTTTAAATTGAGTACAAAAAATTGAGTATATCAAGACTAAAAATTATAGTTGTATTATATTTGCAGTGTCATTGCTAAAATAAAAGTTACATTCTGATAATAAAAGTGACCATAAATACTGCAACTTCACATTTTGACTTTAGTACTTCCTGAATTTCTTAATTCTTTAATTCCCTCCAGCTCAAGAATGACTAATTAATTCAAAGAACCACAATAGCTAATCATTGGTTAAATAAATTTAAAAGGAGATGTCTGTCTGCTTTTTAATTAAAACTACCATTTTGTGATGTAATGTAAATAAAGGTTATTGTACCCTTCTGCTCCAAGAACATATACCTCTATCTACCCCTAGAGATCAGTCAAGGTTTAAACTGCCAAGCAAATTATTTGTGGCATGTGAGATAATTCTAGTGAATAGGGTTTTTTAAATTCATTTTAACATATAGCTTGCATTATTTTATGAATTAATTCTGAAGCACTGTATGTCTAAAATGGTGGTGGACAAATTGTTATCTGAAACCAGGACAGAGAGCAATGTCATCTATGTTGTAGCTATCAGAAAAAGTTTCATAAACATCCATGGGCAATAAATAGACTGAACTCTTCAAAACTGATATTTTATTTCAACATAGGAATAAACATGATTAAAAGTATATTATTTTTAGGAGCCAATCCTCCAACAACTGATGTGGTTGTTCACATGGCCTTATAGGAATGGCAAACCCTGGAAATGTATAGATAAAATAAACAGATAATTAATTCTTTCCCACATTATGAGTGGAGCAGCCAGGTTCTTAATGGACAATTTCAGTAGTACACATAAACAGGTATACATAGAATTTTACTGATCTTTTAAATGTATATATGTACTGTGTGTATCTCAGTAGATACCAAATACAAAATTAGGCTGCTACCAAAGATGACTTGGCTAAAATTCTGTCTTGTCTGTATTTTTTTTTTTTAAACAAAATTTCTTAATCTGATTAGCTATCTCATTGTAAAATTCCTTATGAGGACAGCACATTACAGTCTTCATCTCAAGTCATGGTCAACAATTCTGGGAATAGAAACAAATTCACCAACCTAAGAACTATCTTGACACTCTCTCCATTCAGATTTTGTAAATAATGCATCTGACTTTAAAATGCTGCTGCAGAATCTTATCTCTTGGGGCTGTAGAATCATAGTTAAAAATACAGACTTAATTTCTAAAAAAAAATTATTACTATTTTAACAGTTTAAAGAGTTACCTACAAAAGTACATTGAAAACTTGCAACTCTGGCATGTTGTACATCATTATAATATGTGAGAGAACACTTATAACAAAAATGCCTCTTGAGACAGTGGCATTTCAAGGGATGAGAATGTGGGGTAAAAAAAGCTGCAGTGACCAGGTTTGGCAACCTTGGCATAAATCAAATTATTGTGTAAACAGAACTGAAGTCAAAAGTAAGCTTAGCCAAAGCTGCATGCTCAGTTTTTGTCAGTACACAGGTCTGGCCCATAACTTGAACCAGATAAGCTTGTTATGCAAATGATGTTAGCCATCAGGAAGGAGGTAGATAATGAAATTCTTTGAAAGCTAACCACTCATCACAAGGGTGACAGAAACATCAGGCAAGGTTCTAACATGTGGATAAAAGGCAGTATGGGATTTATACAGTCACTCCTTTTAATTTATCATAACTAAGTTGTCACAAGGTCAGCATCAACAAATGCATAACTAACGCACATAAATGAGCCAATTATCAGTAATGGCTCAAGGTTTGCAGTTGTATGATCCAAGGTTTCATTATTTATTTTTTTTCTAGAAAATCCACTAATGTAAATCCAAGCTTCCATAAAAACATCTTGTAACCTCTGTATCATAACAGCTTTACTAACACATGCCTGAGAATGAAGTAATGTCACAGAGAATTCCATTTCAGGGTTCTCTTAAAGGTAGCTATAAAACCAGCATATTTATTACAATTGTTGCTGTTCTCCATGTTAAGAGACTGCATATGAGCATACTCCCTTACTTCATTGTGCATATTACTGTAAAAATGAAAAGCAAGATTTGAGAACCTGCAGATGTTGCTGGTGAGAGGAAGTAATTAAGCAAAAGTAATTAAAAATTAATCTGATTAAAAATATACAATTTGAAGATATCAAAACCCCAAAGGACAAGATTAAAAACAAGTAAAGCCATAAAGTACTAACGTCTGATTTCTTTTATGAACAGTGGATGCTGAACTAAAGGATTGAACAAATGTTAAACTTAGGTTTTTGTATTGTTCTCAAGCTCAGCTGGGACTCCTAAAAAGGAAGCTACCAAGAGAGAAAAACCTATTTGACAATGCTGAAGGTTACTGCACAATGTTTCTGGGAGAGGAATGCTATCTTATTTACCAATAGCACTGACACTCTAAAGCACAAATGGAATATAACCCACCAGTGCTAGCATTCCCCAGAATATAGCCTACAGTCCATAAATACTGTAAAAATAATGTTTCTCTATAATAGAATGGAATTCATCCACCATCCAGTGACTGCTGTAATTAAATACTGATTCTGACATAAATCACAATATACGCTGCCATGTAAACAAGGACATGCATTATGGAGAAACAGAACTTGGGTCAATCTGCTCTAGAGGAAGGTACTTCTACTACCTACACTGGAAGAGATTCTGAGTTACATTGCAGTAATGACAGTAATGGCCTTCCTCTGAAGGCCAACCATTACAGTGTATCTCACCTTCCTGCCTGATTAAAGATCAGCATAGTAAATAAGAATATTTTTCATGGATTATCAATAAAATTTGCATTAGCCTTTCTATTTTTAACTTCTCCTAAAATGAGGAGACACTACTACACAACTGACTGAAAAAAGTATCAAGTAGGAATATTGTACTCCTCCGCAAGTAACTAGATACATTAAGGAACAGAACAGATTAAAAATGCAGATGTGTATATTTTCAAACCTCTCTTGAAAAGTCAATACTGAGGAGCAGTGTTCAAAGTATTTGGTTATGTGATCAGTGTAAACTTCCCGCGGGTTTGATAATATTCTTCCTATGTTACACAGCTTAGGCTGTAATAGGCCACAATGAAATCCTGAAGAACCCTAATAATCACTCATAAAAGGTGCTGTAAGATTTTTGAATATAATGCTGGCAACTATTAAATTGCAATTTCTTAGTTCCACTGTAAAAAGAAAAAAGTAAAGCAAAAGCATATTTTAGTTCAGTGACAGCTGCATCCAGAAGGTTGGTACCATTCAGGTAATATATTACACTCTTGGTAAAACTGGTGCTCAGTTACGTATGTTGGGTATACAACTTACTGAATATTAGTAGAAAAAGGCAAATATTTTCTTTGTTGTCTTTCAAATTCTTATTTTAAATTGACCAGCAATCATTTTCACTAACCCTTTTTCCTCCTTGACACAAAATTTCACCGCAAAGCCATCAAGGAAATCAGGTTATTTATAAACTTGTCCCGGGTCCATCAAAGTCAAGAACCAAATCAATTAAGGAGTTCAGAGAAGCTGTGAAGCAAATTACATGAGAGGATCAAACTGTGCTGAATAGTTTTCAAAAAGTGAAGCATGGCCTAGAGTCTATGAAATGAAAACTGAGGTTAAAACCTGCAAAAGCAACAACTCCATAAACAAATTCTGTTTTCAAATTGATACACATAGGCTTTGCTGAATAAGCTGTTTTTAATAGAAAATAAAACTCACTGTGAAATGAAATGATTGAATCCTCTGCACCATTTTTCAGGATGTAGCAAAGTAGGAGGAGGGTTTCTGAAAAAATACAAAGTTTTGGGATTTAACATGTTAATGATTACTGGAATTATCTCACAGATAGTCAACAAAGATGATATTGGTTCCATTAGTGAGAAAATTATGATAGAGAGAATAAAGCCCAAATTGTCTACGTGTCCCCTTCAGATGCCTATTGGGTTTTTCTGGCTGCTTCTTATTCACTGACAGTTCTCTTTTCATGTCCTTCTTTTATGTCAATACCTTTGAAATCGGTAGACAGTATAGCTCACAGTGCGCTTCCCTTTCAATTCAACCTGACTCAAGAAGTATCAACTGAAACTCAAATATTAACCTAGCCATCTGTCCTGGTTTTGGCTGGCATAGAGTTAATTTTCTTTCTAGTAGCTGGTTAGTGCTGTGGTTTGGATTTAGTATGAGAATAATGTTGGTAACACATAGATGGTTTAGTTTTTGCTAAGTAGTGCTTATACTAAGTCAAGGACTTTTCAGCTTCCCATGCTCTGCCAGCAGGGAGGTGCACAAGAAGCTGTGAGGGAGCACAGCCAGGACAGCTGACCCAGACTGGCCAAAGAGACATTCCCTTCCATATAACGGCATGTTCAGGATAGAAACTGTGGAAAGTTGGGTGAGGGATGGTGACCATGGCTTGGGAACTGGCTGGTCAGTGGGTGGTGAGCAACTGTATTGTGTATCACTTGTTTTGTATATGCTTTTATCATTATTACTCCCTTCCTTTTTTGTCCTATTAAGTTGTCTTTATCTCAACCCACAAGTTTTACTCCCCGCCCCCCAATTCTTTCCCCCATCCTGCTGCAGGGGGAGGAGTGAGCAAGCAGCTGGGTGGTGCTTAGTTGCCAGCTGGGGTTAAACCGTAACACCATCAAAGCACTTTAGCCCTTTACCCTAGATCACTGGCTCTGACCAAAACTTTAAAGTATGGATATCTTCATCATAAGAACTACCAAACTGTCAACAATCTGTAGCGTTCTCAGACCAGATTTCAATCTGTATCCAGTTCGGATGACACTGTAAACTCTAGAACTATTAAAAATAGATGTTATTTTTAAAGTGACATTTAGCAGACACTGTTTTTACATTACATAAAACGACCATAAGAATAATCTTTTAAACTCTGATGGTTTCCATGTTAGTTGGCATATAATTACTTTCTTTTCTGATTGTTACTGTTACAGTTAAATTACATAAATATACAGAGCAAGGCCTATAGGTCATATCAAATGGACCAAATTTTAAGTGGCTCAAATTTAAGTGGACCAACCTATCGCAGGAGGTGTTCACAAATCACATATTATATTATACTATGCTATCTTCCAGAGTTTTCTTCTGCAACTTAAGATTTCATAAGTACTGGTCTACTTAACTTTTTAAGACTAAACTTGTGTTTTATGAAACCTTAATGAATTGTCTTTTGCTGCATTTAAGGGCTCAATGCGAAGGGGCATTGAACTTGCATTGACCTGGCGGGGGGGGAGAGGAAAAAAAAAAATATCACAACAAGACTTATTCTACAACAAAAACACTAACATTCAGGATTGCATTATGAATCACCTCATTTATACTGGGGCCACATTCCACAGCATGACACTGTTTGGAAATTATCTCTCAAAACAAAAAGGCAAACAGTATAAACAGCATAAATTAGTCCTGATCTGCTTAGTAGTCTTGAATTTTTCATGTATATTCATTTAAAGAGTAGTTCCATTTAACAATTACCCTCAAAAATCCAAACAAAATGGCTTAGAAAAAAAATTACAACATGGCTTTGTAATAGATGGACCACTTTTGTTCATCTATATCTATTCAAAACAAATGCAGTCATCTAATTTCACTGCAGGCTGACATGTTTTCTGAGATGAATATGTTATTACTTTTCTCTTTTGTTACAGAAGACTCAGGGAACACAATTTTTTTTATGAAGTGAAGAAATCCAGAATGTTTGAGATGTGCATCACTTGCCAAATTTATTATTAGGAAAAAAATATGATTAGTTATTTTCAATGATAATAACGTTTCAGGGTTGTCTTCCACTTACCAGGGTCGTGTGTTCATGCACATCATAGAATTTGTTTTTTTACAATCAGAAAAAAAAGACACAGAAAAGTATTTCTACAGGCACTCCCAGAAAAAAAACAAACCTACATCAAAAAAAGGTAAACTTAAAAAAAATCTCTTTCTCTATAATGAAAATGGCTATCAGTCCACACATCCCACATACATGAGCTCTGCAAACAGCTTTAAGGGACAGCCAGCTAGGGTCAGTATATGTTTTTAGTCTTTATATTGCAGGAATGATACTCTATCTGACAATTTGGATTCTGATAAGAACAACTTTCACCGTACTGCGAGGTACAATATATTTCTTCTTAGAATGATACCAGCACTGCCTACATAATATTTGCTGTGAAATTTTGAACTTCATTGCAAAGTAATTTGCTTTTTCAAAAGCTTAGTTACTATTCATGAAATATGTAGTTTTGTCTTTTCCGTAAAGTCTTTCCATGGTGGTAAGAATGGTGCTTACAAAAAGCATATGGTTTGGACGCTCTATTAATAATCTCACAAGGACCTTTTTGAAAAAAGACAATTAGTTGCAGACATTATGACGGAAACAGGTGGGATTTCATCATGGAAGGACAGAACAGCAGAGCAGATGTCATTCAGGAAATACATTTAGTCATTTGCAGGTTAATGATTAATGGAAAAAGTCATGTTTTTAACCACACAGAACATGTTTTGTCCAACAAATTACTGAGCTCCTAAGCTCTCACTTATAGCTACTCTCACAGAGGTGGCTGAGCGTGCCATGTACCAAATCAACTGTGCTGGTTTTGGCTGGGATAGAGCTAATTTTCTTCACGGTAGCTGGTATGGGGCTATGTTTTGGATTTGTACTGAAAACAGTGCTGATAATACAGAGATGTTTTTGTTACTGCTGAGCAGTGCTTACACAGAGTCAAGGCCTTTCCTGCTTCTCACACCACCCCCCAGCAAGTAGGCTGGGGGTGCACAAGAAGTTGGGAGGGGACACAGCTGGGACAGCTGACCCCGACTGACCAAAGAGATATTCCATACCATATGACATCATGCTCAGCATAGAAAGCTGAGGGAAGAAGGAGGAAGAGGGGGCACATCTGGAGTTATGGTGTTTGTCTTCCCAAGTAACTGTTACTGGGAGCCCTGCTTTCCTGGGGATGGCTGCCAGGAAGTGGTGAATGAATGCCTCTTTCTGCTTTGCTTGCATGCATGGCTTTTGCCTTTAGAAAGGGGCATAAAAGGGTCAACTTCCTGCTTTCGCTTTGCCTAAGACACCACAAACTGTTTCATGGTGACAGCAGAAAACACCAGTGCCTCCATGGCACCTCCAGAGGTGGATTTCTGCAGTAAGGACTCAAACTCCAGTTCTAGGGTAACACAAAAAGCCGGATATGCAAGGGTAACTCACTTCAGGCTTTTTTGTGAACACACTAAGTTTTTTGCAGTTTGAAAATAATAATCCAACAAGATATCTGCAATTCATATCACATTAAAGAGAAAAGGGAAAAGAACTCACATACATTATCAGATGCTAAACCACAGGAAGCAACAGTACTTCAGCTCAAACTAGGGCCATTTGCGATTCCAGACTATATTAAACCCAACACATGGAGTTCTATGGTTTTTGTGTACTTGCATCAGCCAACATCAGTGCATTTCACCAACATCTGCCTGTTGCATCTGCAGTAGTCAACACATTCACAGGAAAAACTGAAAAGCTGCCTCTTGTTAACTTGCTGACATAACTTGTTCTCCTCCTTTCATATACAGTTAGAATGCTCTGCATGCAACCTTTCAATCATCCTTGCCACATGTGAGAAGCTGAAGGACAATTAGCCTTATTTTCTACTGCAAGTGATAGAAAATGTGAGAAGTAGATATGAATATTATTGCAAAAAGCGGGTATAATTGGGCTTGTCTTTTGAAAATGTCCTCTTTTGATGCAAGATGAGTAATCAACCATTTATTTCCCAACTTCATGTCTTTTTTTCTGTAGTTCTTTCTATAATTCATGATTAGTCACAGAACTACATGTCCTATTTCCTTAGGCAGATGCATTGCTCTTGTGAGGAGTTTTCCTACCCTTGTATTCAGTGCTTTCCATGGTCATACTGATGCTGTTTTTCACCAGGAGCTTTGCTTCAGTGAGGACTGCAGGATTGAGCCTGTACAAGACAGCCCATACAGAAGCACAATGTTCATTAGAACATGAAGACATTAGCAAGCTTATCAAGCAAGAACTGCTGCTGAATTCTGAATGATACACACACAGTTATGTGCTGAAAATATTTTAACCTGTCGAGCTTTATGTGTTCCCTGTCATTCAGCCTGCCTCCAAAGTCACAGCTGGTAAAACAAAATTGGTCATTTTACCACAATAAGGCCAATGATGCAGCTCAGCGAGCACCATTCATCCTTTCATTAAGCTATGAGCCTACTTACAGATCACAGATAATAGATATTTGTTGGCAATGAGAAAACAAATAATGTAATCTTAAAATACTTCTTTGACAACTTTTTAGAATTTGAAAATGCATCTACTATTTTTTTCTATTTCAGTAAACATAGCCATATATTTTATAAACAGAAATCAAGACAGAGCCTCCAGTGACCAAACTGCATCATCAGCCTACCACACTGTTTCTAATGAGAAATTAGCAGATGAACATCCAACACCTGTCACCACAAACAGGCCCTGGCAATCACAGCCCGGTACACGCATGTTGCGAATTATTTTTCTAGCAGATTGAAGAGACAATAGTTCTGTTGACAGTTGCCTAGGTTTACACATAGCCAGTTTTTACATGAAATTAAATCATATTTCAAAAACCTAAGTGAAACAGCCACGGAAAAAGCACAACTCAACCGTGCATAATAAAGAGATTTCCCTACAAAAGGTTACCTAAAACAAATGGTTTCTATTAAAATACGTGAATAATTGACATTAATTAATACCTGATAAA